GTTTAATGAAAAGGAGGCTTCTCACTCAGTGTAACCTTGTGTTTGCAATTCGATTAGGTCACTTACTCATTCGCATTGGTCGTGCATGCAATTTGATTACAACGATACTCTCTCGAAATAGGTCAGATATGCATGTAGGGTCCACAGGAATGTAACATTTAATTCAATTTGATTATTTTACTTTTCTCTGTCATCAGTTGTTGAGCTGCAGGACACCACCTGTTCGGGTGAAGCCTCGCTGTTTTCCTACACCGAAGTCGAAATGAGCTAATCAGTGGCTGATTAGAAACAGCTGTGTGAGTCTCCTCTTACCTTTCACGAGATGTTTCACGAGATGTTTCAGGCTCCTAACGGGCTCATGTTCCGGGAATGAAAACACTGAGTGGCATCAGTTCAGGTCCGCTGAAGTGTCTTCCTGTCGTTTACCTCCCCAAACTGCTCAGCGTCAGGAGTGTCGGCAGGTTACTTAAAGAAATGACCTGCGAAAATGAAGGATGAGCCCTGAAACACCACAGCTGTACTCCTCTTGTATCTTTTTGCCCTCTTTGTCTCAATGGAGAGGGGGGAAAAATACTAATTATGGACACAAAATGGCAGCTTCTTCAACCACGAAGCGGGTAATCTTGCGAAACCACGAGAGCTAAAAGAGCCGGTATTTTCTTTTAGATAAAAGACGATTTTATTGTTCTATTTTCCGAAGCTGGCGAGGCGTGCGACGGATGAGGCATGATTGCTGCGCGCTCCCGACAGCACAGGCTCGTGCGCGGGTCAGACGCTCAGTAGCCGTGGGAGTAAACCGCAATAAGAAATAATTCATGGGAAAGGGGTCGGTGTTTTGACAGAGCGAGAACTGCTCCTGCATGTTGCTTATTTACTTTGAATTAAAAAAAACACTCTTGAATCCATGAACATGGAATATTGGTCTTTAAAAGTCTCATTTGAAACAGAATGCAGCCTATATCATTAACATTAAAAAATAAGATGACAACAGTATTGCAGCTAGTTTGAATCTAATTTGCATAAGCATCCATTTACTCTGTCCAAATGTTTTAAATGACCTCTTCATTGAACATCCAATATCAATTAATGCAGTTTTTCCCTCGTGTTATTCATGCTCCTTTAAATAGGCCCTTTTCATTGACATTATACGACTTGTTATGTAAGAATCCTTCCCTGGATGACTCTGTAAGAGCAGCTTTCCTCCCTCGGGGCCTAGATTGTACCCAGTGAGAAAACTAATAAGCCCTACACGAGAGAAGACACAAAGAGGTCCCTGGTGCCTTGGTTTCTGCCACTATTATAAGGATTCTTTTCATTTTTATGTATATTGCGAATGGTTCATCTGAGGAGCTCTCTCCCTGCTTCTCATTTAATAAAACAGATACACAGAGCTGCAATAAAGCCAGGATGTACTGTATCTGAGAGCCTTTAAAGGAGAGATCCTCCAGAAACTCAGGCAGGCTGGGGAATTTCCCCTCAATTTTATATCTGATCCAATCAATATTTAAATCTGCACTGCAGCCTTAAGGTTTACAATTGTGTAATTATTAAAATCACATAATGGGGCCGCAACAGAAACAATGCACTGACTGAATACATGTTTACCTGTTAGCATGGACAGAAAGAATCAACTGATTTTAAAGACATTGAAAACAAAAGATACAAGTTTCTTGTGTTATCAAATGTTGTAATATCTTCCCTTAAAGGCTTCCAGTATGCAGTTTTGTGTGCATTAGATATTTTAAGCAAACAGTTTGGGGCGTTCAACTTTTTATTTCACTTAAACAATTGGTGGTTTATATTGGGATAATTGCGATAAAGAGATTTTTAAGGTATTTGGTTGTCTGAGTACTTGTTATTTGCATTGTTGGACCTTATTGCAATGACCATCATTGTGTCTGTTTTCTGCAAGGTAAGTGGAAATAGCTGCAATGTAAACAGGTCCCAGGTAATAAAAAGACTGCATTTTTTACTACAAACATTAAACTGCAACCTTTGCACCCCAACAGTCAAGTTGTGATGTTATGGTGTAGATCTCTCACTGATTGTGCTTGAACAAGCTTCCTCAGAGGGTCAATGTGTGGAGAAACTCATAATTTTGCAGCTGTAAAAAAATGAATAAACAGATTAATCATACGTCTGTGTTAATGATTTGAGGTGCAAAAGGTAATGCTTGCTTCAATTTTCTTGAGTACTTCTTAAAACATGTAAAGGTGCAGAAGCTGAGGACGCCAAGATTATTAAAGCCGTGATCAGAGAACTGCAGTTGAAAGTGGGTGCATGTGTGAGAGTAACAGAACAAAGGATGGAAAGGTTGTGAAGTCAAATGAGTGGAAATTGTCTTTTTATGATGGCATATTCCCATTTTTAAAGCAACGTTTCGAGCGAATGGCACAATTGAATTGACACATAATGTCCAAACCGATGAGATGGTGAACTGCGCTGTTATATTTTAATGCGTCTGTGCGAGCTGGCCCTAATCTACTCTCTGAAAAAATAATCATTATTAAGTTGTCAGTGTAAAGTGAGTCAGGTCTGCTTTAGCAAATCGGTCAGAGGTTGCATGAATAAGCGATACATTATCAGAATTATAATAGGTGTCTTTGAATTCTGGCCTTCCACACTTGATGAATGCTTGCAGTCAAGACATCAAACATATTTCTTGGGTATGATGGTGTGTGGATAACGTGTTGCAAATGCTTACTTTTTGGACTAAAATAAGTCTATCATTAGAGATAGGACAGGAAAAACAAATCTCTAGCCTCTCCTCTGTGATGCTAGGTGACCTGGAAGTAAAAAGTAACAGAAGGCATTCGCGCCCACTGGCTGCGCTGGCACCGGGCTGCCCCCACTCTCACCGTCAGCTCCATATCTCACTCACACACACACACACACACACACACACACACACCACACACACACACACACACAACACACACACACACACACACACACACACACACACACACACACACACACACACACACACACACACACACACACACACACACACACACACACACACACAGCAGCAGTTGTTTAAAACTTAACACTATTTTGATTGTCCTACTCATGTGCTCTTTTAGAATCCAGAAGTCCCCAGTGGCTGACAATAAGGGAGGTTCCAGGCCAGACAAAGTACGCCCCATCACCTACTTCTCTGCAAAGGAAAGCCTTCCTGGCTCTGAGCCCAGATACTAGTGGAGGGCTGAATGCAGGACTCACATCGCTGCTCTGTGAAGGTGTTCCAGGAAGCACAAACAAAACATTTTGACAACAAAAAAGAGAAGAAACATTGATCTGCCTGTACCGTTTACTCTGTGAGTCTGACGTCTTTTTGAGCATCTGCAACTTCTGCCAACAAGCTAAACAGAAGCAGAGCAACGTACGAATATTGACAGAATTATTTTTCACATGTGATCTTGAAGTCTGACGTGCACACGGTTCAGGTCCCTGGGTCTCGTCTCATGTTGTGAAGTTTTGTTCCTGCTGTCAGAAAATGACGGACGATGGAGACGCTTCCAAGCCGAGGAGGAAATGCAAAGCGTCTCGCTTTATCGTTTATTCTTCCGTAAGGCTGCTAAATGTTTTCTCTCCTGCACCAGAGGATCATTCAGGGGGGGCTTATAGGCCCCTAATTTAGATGCGAAGACATGAAAAACATAAGATCATGTTTTTTTTACATTATTGTCTGATAGGCATAATCAGTTTGACAGGCCTCTGGCACCATTGCCCTAATCATTGTTCTTAATGTGCAGCTGGATTTATTTAAAGTTTTCCCTGCAAGAAAAACATCTATTTCTGATAATGTCATCTCTTTCTATTTCAAGTCTTTTCTTCCACATAAGTAACCATAGTTACCACATTGTGTCTCTTTGTATGAAAGCTAGATGCTAGCTGCAATGGCCGAAGACAGTAATGAGCATTCATGTGAATGTTGGGAAATCAAATGTTTTCTGGACAGGGAGAGTCAGAATAACCTGCGCTGCTGTGCATTAGGAACATGTACTTTTTAAATAAGCTCAAAAGTCTTGCCATCTGAGACGGCTCTCCTTCTCCCACAAGATATCTCAACTTCATTGGGGTTAAAAATAGATGTATTCCCTGAGGTGCAGATTGAGACTAACTTTATTGTCATGGGGGAATGAAAAGCAGACATACTGTGCTGGAGGGAGCAAGGGAAAAACAATAACCTTCAAGATGCAATGACAAATCAGTTTCTGTCTGTGTGAGCAAAACAGTAAGAGGACAAACAAAGGTCCACACATAAAGGCATTTTTCTGATGATTGGACCTGTGTGTCTCTTTTGGTCTTCACAGAGCTCACTCACAGGGCTTTAGTCTTTGAATTTCACTTTGCTTTTGATCTCAAATTAGACTCCGCCATCTGTTGCACAGGAATGAAGCCTACAGACTCGCACGGAAGAGTCTTTTAAATACCCAAATGAGAACAACAATCCTGCTTTATATTTAAGTATAGAGTTTTTATGGCGGGTAATAATCACAGAGTGGCCATATGGATAATGAGTTCTAATTTGATTAATCTTTCTAACCTTTCTCTGTGCACATATGCACAAACCCAGGTAATATGATTGTTCTCATATCTCATGTAGAGACAAAGGGAGACTGGGAGATAGAGGGACAAATAGAGTGAACGAGAGAATGAAGAAATAGACATCACAAACGACAGGAGACACATGATGACGTGATGGTAAGCAGGCGAGGGAAATGAGAGCATGTTAAGGCAGAGCGAACGCTGGAGTCACAGTGTGACAGACACGCAGAGGAGGAGGAGAGCAGAGGGGAGGGGGGAGAGGAGATGGGGAAGGGCGGGTGTGGGAGAGATGCGAGTTGAGTCAAAGCCCCCCGAGCTCCCCTGATTCCTCTGTGAAAGACAGTGCTGAAAAGATGGATAGCGTGTGCCCTCTCTGCCAAGGCATGCCCAAGACAATGACATCATCACCATCAAACTAGAAAAGACGCGAGGCGAGAGCCCCAGACTCACGCTTGGATATTTTATTCATTATTATTCACTCACTTATTCATCATTTTCCTTGCGCTCAGACTATCACTTTGCACCGACACCGATCATGAAGTCTTCATGCTTACAAATCGTCTTAAAATAAAATAGTACTCTACAGTCAGACTGTCACTCTGCATTGACTGTGACACATCAATACAAATGTCCCCAGAATAAAAGATGTTCTCTTAATTAAAAATACATCCAGCCATATTTGGACACTTTGGTTAAAAAGAGACTACAATTACAGAACCAGAGAGAAGGCTTGTATTCCCTTCATACTGTGTGCTGAGTGGGGTTGATATACTCTGTTTGCAGATGTAACTCCTGAGAGCAGCGGCTTTACTCCTGGCGCTCCTTCTCCGCCAGTCTCTTCGCTTTACTTTGGAGGTAACGTGCATTGCCCTCCTCGAAACGTCTCTTCTCCTCCTCTCCGTCAATCTGAAGAAAAGCCAAAACAAATATTTGTCTTCAGACACATTCATCATTTACACATATTGTGCACTGGAATGTTTCCCCTGCTGTTATCACATTAACCGTGGGCATGAAACTCTGATCTAATTTACCACTCTGGGCTTATGTAATTGTCATTTATCTTCTGATGAAATACAGAAAGGAAGATTGAGACTTGGGGAGGCTATGTATCAGAGAATGAAGAAGTAGAACAAAACCAACTGAGATGATTTGCAAGAATATTTGAGGACATCAACACCTTGTATGTTTCTTAAACTGCATTAAAAGTACAATTTAAAAGTACAATTTAAAAGTAAAAAAGAAAATAAAACTATTATACCAAATCTACACAATATAAACAGTATACACAAATGACTAATGTTAATTAAATAATAATTAAAATGTTCTAAAAAAGTCACAAATAATGCAGTTATATTTTGGTTATTTGGTTGTGGATATGTAATGTACCATTGTACTGTACTGAAGCACTATGAACTACTTTAAGTACAAGGTGTTATATGTTTATTCTTAATCACTTTTAGCAGACCATGTATCATATATGATCAAATTACACTTTCTTTTGAACTGGCAAGCACCATCACACACCAAGGAATTCTGGGAAGACCTCCTGGATTCACAGCTGCTCGCACTTTCAAGCCTGTGAAGAACCAACGTTGTCTTCCTCCTTCACTTTGCTCAGTTTAGCTGCCGATTCGTGGGAGGAAGCATTTGTTAGCCTGCGCCGTTTAATTAGACTGCCCTGCGACCTCGTGACTTAAACAACAACACCTCCGGTGACAGTGTCATCACTTTCTCACTCCCCCATCTGCATCTTTTCTCAGAGATTGTGTTGTAATTGAGCATGTACAGTGCACATTTATGTTTGTGCATGCTTTAGCATGTAAAACTGTACAAATGATTACATGTGTCAATAACATGTTCAGATGGAAGCTCTTGCTGTGCACACTTCGGGGGGTTGGCAGTTTCCAGAGCACCTGCCACTCAGCAGCAAAGCTGACAGATGGCGTCTTAACTTCACGGGAGAAGGGTGGTAACTGTTGGTAACAGATATGACAAACCATCGTGCCAGGGGTCACAACTCCAATGTGATGAGAATATTAAAATAGTCGTGCAGGTTTAGCTGCACACAGCTTTAGTTTTGGTGTGTTTGTTGTATGCTGGTTATATAACAGTCAATATACTGCTCAGTCAATTTTACTTTTGCCATTCTACTGAAAGTAATGGATAATTCCAGTTGATTGACTTTGATAAAAAAGTAAAGATAGAGAGACGGAGAGCAAGTTGACCACAGTTCCAGTATTTTAAAACATTTATGTAAACAGAAAGGCTGCTCAGACTTGTGCAAAATGTGTAAAGGACCTCAAACAGGAAGTGTGGAGCCTCGTTTAAGTGTGTGAAAGTAACTGATTGTGTAGAGTCAGAGCCATTTCATTAACGTTTTATTGACTAACAAATTGTGTATTACACCATCCATTATTATTTTACTGTGGGTAGTTGGGGGCAGCCAATTTTACATTAAAAAGCAAGTGTTGCTCTCTGTGCATACAAATTAAATACTAACAAGTGGAAGGGATGTCTTGCTTCTGTGTATTGTGTTAAAAAGTAAAAACAGTGGAAGAGTAGGGTTATGTTTTTCCTACTATTTCTGCGCAGAAAGTAAATGGTTTTCTTTTGAAGGGTCAGACACAGTTACCTGTGGCTGTGTTGGAAGGCGGACAGCTACACAAACAAGGCCTCCATCATGTTTATATCTTTTAAGTCATCTGAGGGCCTAAACATCTTCCGGCGCAGACTGAAAACTCATCTTTTTCGACTCCACTTCGAGCAATAAAATTACTAACAAAGCACTTATATACTAACAAAGGACTGGCTTATCTAAACCCAGTTGAGTAGCACTTGAAATGTGTTGGCTCTATGAAACCTGATGTACTTATATGATTCTGTTTTCTTGGTCGAATGCACTTATTGTAAGTCGCTTTGGATAAAAGCGTCAGCTAAATGTAATGTAATGTATAATCCCTGTGTTGACGGAAAGAGGAATACAGTATACTTGAAATACACCCTACAAGCTGATTTGAGACCCTGGCACCGATCAGCAGTTTATAAATCATCTGTTTGATAGGCTACTGGGCGTACTGAAGGAATCCATCACCTAACACAGCACACATTCAGGGATGCAGTGTCTGCATTGTAGTAAAATGCAGCCATTTGGAAGTGTATGGTATATTTGTTAACAATTGCCTGAAGCCGTTTGTTTTATTCTCATTTGTTCTTTCGGTCATACCCCTGATATCCCTCTCTTTAACCCCTCCCCCTCTCTCTGCTACTCAGGCCCCTGAGGACCTAAACATTACTTAATTGCACTTTTTAAAGTATAGTCAGCTTGAGATGGTTTAATGAGCATGCCAATTAAAATAAACTGTACACCTGACTAATGCTAATGAAGATTAGCTGTTTTTAACAATATAAGATATGGTTTCTGTCCAAAGCAAAGGAAACATGTGATCCTGGCAGGAGACCAATGCTGGTTAAAGCTATTGTGAATATTGCTTAGGTTTAAATGGCTTCTTTACTCTTTTGCTGTAGGTTCTAAGTGTACCATACCATCTGAGCTATCACACACAATGCTTCACTCATGTGCACATTATTTGTGCGGCTTAAACTTTGTGTGGATTCCTGCTGTGATGCACGTGTGTATGCCTCTGTTTATGGTCATGTGGATACATTTGCATAACCCAATGTCACAATTCAATGCTAGGCTCTGTCCTTTTGGTGTCCTCACGTAATTGGTATTCCCACAGTGGCTTCCTTCTAATAACAATGATTATATAGGATCATCACCTACTCCTGGTGGCTCGGTTTCAGAACCCATCAACCAGGCAAAAAGCAGCATGCTTGTTTTATGGTGTCTTCAACTGGAGTCTCTCCAATTGTGAGCAAAATGTATATGCAATTCACTTGTGTATGTATAACAATTATTACAAAGCAAGACTGTGTAAAGCCCAATGGCACCTTTTTGAACAAGATGAGAGAACACAGCCATGTTAGCCGCTCTGTTAGACTCTACAAGAACATTAGCATGCTAATTTACTCTCAATTATAATACTTAAATGTAGAAACATGTTTACAATTTCACAACCTTTGTGTAGCACATTAGCTGGCACACATTTGTTCATGATCAGCACTAAACACACATCAGTGGTGGCCGGCCCATAGGGGCTCTAGGGGCGCCGCCCCCCCTCTTCCCACATTTTAGATAGAAAATATTTAGATTTAATTAGTTAATTAGTTCATTAATTATTTTTAATTAATTAAGATTTAATTTAGATATAAAAAATCAATTTAAAAAATACGTTTAAAAACAAATATATATTTTTTATTTTCATTTTTAATAAACAAGGTACATATTATATAGTTGGTATCAGAAAAATGTATAATCTACAATAAAATCTCGTTTAAAATTGTGTTACGATGTCTAAAGTTACTGATAAGTCATGTGTTTCCTGCCTGGCCGCAGAAATCTTTGCCCGTGTATCATTACCCTCTCTCGTCTGGGCGCTAAGAAAAGAGCCCTAAGTGCAGCAGCAGCCAACCAAGTGCTGACTATTGCTACCTGAAAAGTATTATGCCGCCGAAACATAATTTCAGCAAATCAGCGTCGTCAGATCTGATGGTCCAAGGGGCTACAATTTCAGCGCCCGGCCCAAGGCAGTCTGTGAGTTGTTTTGACTCGTATCCAAGGAGACAAAACAGGGAGCTGTCATACACTCTGGAAGCTATCCGTCGCTGCCCCCTCCCTCTGGAACTCACTCCCACAACCCATCAGAGACTGCACTGACCTCACCACCTTCAAACAACTTACAAAAACTCACCTCTTCAATCTGGCTTTTAATGTGTGATTGTTTTTGTATTATTTGACTTTAACTTTAACTATATATTTATTTGTTGTTCCTTTATTTTATTTTATCTTCACTATATATGTAAAGCGTCTTTGAGCACAACAAATTAAATCTATTATTATATTTATTTATTATTAGCAGCTAATATGAAAACTCAGTTTTTGACATAAAAATAGAATTATGGATCATCAATATTATTTTTTCAAAGTGACAGACACATTGGATTAACCTATGGATTAACCTTCAGCCGCGTTGTTCTCGTTTTAATGCCATTGAACACAACTTTTGATCAGAATAACAGCAAAAGGTGAGCATTAGGGACGGGTGGCGCAGTGGTCTGTGCATCCGATCATCAGATCAAGGGGGAGTGCTGGGGAACTCCAGTTCGAAACCCGCTCCTGCCGCCACTGCGTCAGGCCGTTGTGTCCTTGGGCAAGACACTTCACCCGGATTTGCTCCTGTGGGTATTGTCCACAGTACATGTATAATACCAATGTGTACCTGTAAAAGCGCCTCGATGTCTTCGAGGCGTGAAAATGGACGGTGTGGCGCAGTGCGCTGTGCAATGATCATCAGATCAAGGGGTGAAACCCGCCGCTGCTGCGTCTGTAAAGCCGGTGTGTCCTTGGGCAAGACACTTCACCTGAACTTGCTCCTGTGGGTATTGTCCACAGTATCTGACCATTGCATGTATCATATATGTGTAATGTGTGTATATGTAAAGCGCTTTGAGTCATTGATAAAGCGCTATAATAAATGTAAGGAATTATTTATTATTATTATTATATCTCCGTGTTTTGCTACCTAAAGCTACGTCGTGTGATGTCTGTATTTGCTTCCCCTGTCGCGAGTTCTGATCGCTCAGTGATGATACTTATATTTCTCAGCTTGTTAGCATAAGCTTGATTGTGGATATCCGATAAGTATATCGATCGATTTATACCTAGAGTGCGTTAGCATTTTTTTGCTCAGGACTCATTTAGCAAAAGATTAGCTTCTTGTGAGACTTGTGTTTTATTTCAGTAAAAATGGTTCATATCATCAGTTAGCTGAGTTTCTTCCCGTTAA